TTAATACACGAACTCAATTGACCGAAAATATTCATGTTGAGTTGTACAAAATAAAAGTTAATACAGATAATTATTACTAATACTATGTAGAAGCAAGATCTTTAAGATGAGACTTTGAAAAATTATAACTTATAACAATATAGAGTTTATTTTTATTTATAAATTACCCAAGTTGAGATGATAATTTTTTATGACTAAATAGAGATTAATTCTATATAGAGTATCACTATAGAGAGACTATTTATAGTTCCAGCACTCTCTAATCTTTGTCATTCACGGGAAAAATTTATAATGAACCTGGAAATCTAATGTATCTAAGGCAGCTAAGAAAACATGGCAGGAAAACCCCCAGCAGTGTGTCTCATTTCTGTTCAGATTCTCATGTCTCCACAAAAGGCACAAATAGCTTAAAACCATTGAATGGGCTCCCTACTTTCCGTTTAATGGCCCAAATCTAAGGCAGCTAAGAAAACATGGCAGGAAAACCCCCAGCAGTGTGTCTCATTTGTGTTCAGATTCTCATGTCTCCACAAAAGGCACAAATAGCTTAAAACCATTGAATGGGCTCCCTACTTTCCGTTTAATGGCCCAACCTTTGAAACTCTTGTTGAGTCTCCAGGCCATATAATATTTTTCAGCTTACTTCTAGAACTTGAGAGGCTTGATCCTTTGTTTGGACCGAAGTGTCGAGATACACCTTTTGTCAGTAGACCAATATTCAACAATTCTTTCTCCTTTCCCAATCATATTGAAAATTTCGAAGGCTAAAGGTTGCAACTGCCCATTGCCATCCTCTCAATCCCTTGATTTTGGTTCCTAAGATTTCACTTACAAGTCTTGAATTGGGAAACTCCTAAATTTGCAAGATCTATTGAACTTCCACTATTGTTTGACTTAAAAAAGCTAGTATTCATCAGGGCCAATCTTCTCGATTGCCATTGCTAATACAAATATTGTGTCATATGCCAAGATATCAAATATGTTTACTTGATCGGACGCTAGACTTGTGGACAGCACTCCTGAAAACACCGTTAGTGTGCACTTGGGGACTTTTGTCGAACACCTTGTGGACAAGCCCAAAGAACACCTTCAAGATCTTGTTAGAATGGACTTAATGAAACAAAAGTGATATAAATGGCATAAATATTACACACAAGCAAACAAACAAACAGCCACAGCACACTACACGATGATTTTACGTGGTTCACAGAAAATGGCTACATCCACGGGAGGCTACCGATTTCAATAGATTCAAAGAGATTGACAAAGAGTACAATCTTAGTTTCTCACTCCCTAGATCTTAATCACTTAACCTCACAATTTCTCAAGTGTTTAGGCTTCTTGTTCAACAAGACTATTTCGCTTTGTGAAATGGAAGCTTTGATTCCATCTCTTTTTTAGGTTTTCAAGATGTTTTGAGTTGGGAATGTGACGTCTAATGCCTAACACACCCTCCATCAAATCAATTGCCCTAGGATCCATGGCATCTAATGAATTTGACAAGCCATCAGTGATGAGCCACGCATAATCTTTACTCATCATTCCTGCTTTACAAGCAAGAACAAAAAGTCGGGACCCAAGTTGAGGAGACAACTTGTCTGCATAGTTGTCAATGTGTTCAATTCTCTTGAAATTTCAAAATCTTCAGCTGAATTAGAGATTACGGTAATGTGCCCTAGCCCAATGGCGATGTCTTGGAAAACACCAACCAAATAAGGAATGATCCACTGCCATATTCCGTATCTTCATTTATGAGAACCACTTCACTCCATTGAAAATTTAAAATTCTTGTGAAATGACTGCAATTACTTTAACTGAAGAGGAGAAGTTTTGAGTTGTATAGATGAATAGAGGGTTTTGAGCCGGAGAAAGAGTAGGGTCTGTGTTGGAGAATGAAACAAAAGGCACATGAAATTTTTCTCCTAGCTCCACCAGAAATTTATTTCCAACAAACAATTCTTACCCTATGATGACATGAGCTTCAATATTCTTCAATTAGCTCACTGCTGCATATCCAAAGAAAATCTTAAATGAAAAGTAGTATGAACTAGCATTTCACCTGCAGAAGTGGAGCCAGGGAAATTCTGAGTCCATTGAGTGTAGGGATAATCTCGTTTGATAATTAGAGTGAGTAGCAAAGGAATCCGAGATTGCCATGGACATCCACATATTCGCCATGGCAGAAATCGGTGAGTTCAGATCAAGAACCACGCCAATATTTACCAACAAGTTTGATTATGTATTTTTTTCTGCAAAGTGTACTGTATATTCTGCGTTGATTCCGGACTGAAAACATAGAGACAATAAGAAAACTGTCATATCGGATATCAACGGCTAAGGCAAGACAAATTATTGCTGAACCATTAATTATTGTGCCTTACCTTCTTATGGAAACCTATATATAAACTATTTTTCCTGTGAGTATAATTATATGGAAAATGACATGCTGAATATGTCAATCCATAAATTTGGATACATCGAAAATCAAAATGCTCGAAATGGCAACAAAATTGTATCATTGTATTGTTGTCAAATGGCCATTTTATCAAGGAGGATTAACACATATATGGGTCTTTGCTATTGGTGTAGACTGTAGAGCTTGTTTAATCTGTGAAGTGCATCTTGATATTATCATTTATCAAATAAATTAACTATAACGCATGTACTTAATTTTGTTTTATGCCAGGTCTTCCTTCATAGCAACTTCTAGCAAGTGTGGATGTTTGGATCTTGTCAGTGTTCACATCGATAGTTACCATTAAAATATATATGCTAGCCTGCAAATTAACCTAAATATACAATTAAACTCTTACAGAAATTTGTCCGAAGCTTGATGAAATTGGAAGCTCTCAGCCTAGAAGATGATGATGTCAATGTGTGGCTTCTAACTATGTCTTGATCATGCCAGGGAAACAACTGCAAAATTAAATAATAAAGATACATATTTCAGTTACTTCTTTATCTCACAGTTTTCTTCTTTCTTACAATCTTTTGTACTGGGTAGCAATGAGATCACAACCAAGCCTTACAGAGTATATACTTGATGAGCAACAAACTAAATGAAAAGCCAGGCAAACCATGGAAATTAGAACTACAAAGACAAGAATTTTAATATTCTACAGCAACTAAACAAATCTACTGCCTCAAAGTATGTGCATTTCTCCATACCCAAACACTCTGAATCTACAAGCGAAGCTCATCTCAAATCCAATCTTTGCACTTACAAACAATTAATATGCACACAGTCTTCAGATGCATCTGAAATAATCAACGTGATTATCAACTCTCTACCGAACACAGTAAACTAACAAAAGCCATCTCTCTAATGTCAACTGCCACTACAAACACGGTAATTTTTTTACAAGTTATAAACTTGCTAATAAGAACACTAAAGTGGCACTTCTTTATATGCCCTCAGCGCGGGAAAGGTAGGGAAAAATGTTTTTTCCTGACCAAAGACATAATGTACTTCAGATTATTAACTCACATTACACAATAAATAAAAAACATACATAATATCTTCGTTTTTATCTGTTCCACTCATAACATGGTTTGAATTTTTCGACGGCAGCATGTCTCTTCAGGATTCCGTCTGTTAAATTCGAGATTCTTCCTCTATCACACTCAATTCTTTCACACATAATTTCCACGATAGACAGAAGAGCAACATATTGTGTTTAAATTTTTAATATAGTAGTAAAACTAATTAAAACTTCAGGTAACACAAGGAAAGGACGGTAAACTAAGGCAAATAGAACTTCAAAAACATATACTCATCAAGCCAATTAAGAATCAGAAAAATGATAGCTATATAAAGAACGGATTTTGTAACAAATAAAACTTCAAACATGTATCCCCAAATCCTTCTGCTCAAAAAGCCAAATCTGAATATGAGAAAGAGTAAAAAGAACCCGTTAACAAAATAAAAAATTTTAGACAGACCCAGAAGAGGATATGAAGATATCTAGTGGACCAAGGATTGACAGGACCTCAAAATTAAGTACTGGGCAACCTACAAAAGCCATGGAAACATAGAATTAGCAATGACAAGTTATTGAAAGATAACAAAAGAAAAAGTTGTTATGCTTAAAAAGATCAGGGCTTATGTAGGCTTACATCAACAAGGATTAATCAGAATTCAGGAAGGCATTGTACCGTTTAGGTACTACCACGTCGTCCAAGGACAAAGGAGTAAGATTGTCATCTGCTTGACTGGTAAAGGCCTGGCGAGTGAGTGGCTAGGAGTCACCCACTTGCTGAGGCCCTGTGCGATTTACGGATATCTTTCGTGCAACCGACCAATGAGAATCAGGGTAGAAACTGTACAACACCTGCTCGCTGAAAGACCCATAATCATTACCTAAAACCTCTTACTATAAATAGAGAGCTCCCCTCTATTTTTCAAATCTCTAGTTCTGATAACATAAACTCTCTCTCTCTCTCTCTGTGTATTTTGCTCTCTTAGATTACTACATGTGACCCGATTGTACTCTTTAATAAATAAAAAGACAGTGGACATAAGATTCGCTTTGAGCATCCAATCCACTTTAAAAATCATCTCCCGTTTACTTGTTTCATTTTCCAGTTCACGTGTAATTTCTAAATCCACTTAGCACTTTGCATGTGCGAATAGTTGGTGATAAAATCGAGTATCAATAAAAGCGTATAATGGGCTGCGCCACAAGCCCATGTTAATCAGATTTTGGGAGACTCTGAAAGCTCACGTACTTAATTTAATGGAGAGAAAGTTTTACTCACACTTGTCTTAGTAACCACTTAATCAGACTATGCTATGTCATGTTAGTCAGATTTAAAAATAGTATAATAAGGTGATTTAATGATTTATATATTTTTAAACACAGAAATTTGGAGATGACATTTTTTAAGTTTTTTTTTTTTTTTTCTTGAAGGCATTGTCTTCAATGAAAATCATAAAGAAATGTTGAAAATACTTGAATTCTTGGACATATTTACAAATTAAATTTACATTCACATCCACCTTAGTTGTTTTCTTCTATGATCTCTTGCTGTGGAGAAATATTTTCCTCAATCTGGTTCGACGTGCTGGCAATAGCTTTCTCAGAATTCTCAATTTCTTGCACAGGGGATTGTTCAATGGCTTTCATCTCATTCTCAGTTGTTGGTTCAACTGCAGCTTCTTTGGTATTATTTGGTTCTTTGGATGAAAGACATCTTTGGCTACATTCTCTTACCGTTCTAACAGTCCTCCAAATGTAACTTTCTGATACGATCAAGGCTAATATTGTCACGACCCCTGTGATGATGAAGAGACCTCCAAAGCTATACAAACCGAGTCTTGGACTACTTGTAGCAATTGGATCAGCATGACTCTGAGAAGTAAGTTCATGACCAAAATATCTTTTCTCAATATCATCCATTGTTTTGTTTTCTCTTACACGTAAAATTGCTCGAGAAAAATGAGAGACTAGACGGGATTCCAACGGAAATGCCTGAAATACAATGAATTTAAAATATTATATATCAGATAATCTCTGTGATCCGCAGCTATAAGATTTTATTAGATAAACATAGAAATAATGTATTATGTTAATGTACTTACAAAGCCAAAGCCATCGGTCCGGTGTGTTGGGCCGGTCATCATGTATTTATTTCCATATTTAGCTAGAAAAACCCTAATGTAGGGTATTTCATCAAAGATGGCAGAAACTCCACCGTTTTCACTTCCTTCGGACAAAGCTTTGTAATAGTCTAGGACGGTGTCATATGGCTTGAGCTTGGACGCATTCAACATCAACTGATGCACTAATAAATCTTTCACAAATGAGCCATTTTGGTATCCAACAAAGCAACCTTTTCTTCTGAGCTCATTCACACTGACAAATGTAGGACGCAATTCCTCGATTGTTAACATTGTAGATAAGCTTGCTGTGTAGCTTTGCATAAGAATAATTGTCAAGATTAACCATATTGCCAATACAAACCTCGTACAGTCTCTGACCATCGACTCTCCTGTTATCAACAAATACATAACATATGCTTTGTAGAGAAATGAATGGAAAGAAAAATGAAGATGAAGATTAGAGATTTACTTTGTGGAAGGACTACAGATGAAAATGGAAAATAGAAGATCATGCTAAGTTGACGCCTAAGCGGCCCTTGGAACGTTGTGTTGGTTGTTTGGGGCTTCATCTCCATGATTAGAATTACGAATCCTATAAAGATGAGAGTCGTGATGAATGCCAACCAAAGATCCCAGTGCCAAGGTTGTACAAAAATCCACAGGTTTTTGCGTTTATCACGCTTAATTGGAACAAGCATGATCACACCAGACTCTGAGTATGGCAATGTGAACTCAACATATGATGTCCTGTTAGCCACAATTGTCGTATCTCCCACCACAAGATCCACTTTCTACATTCTCTCATGGACAAAAAAATATATTAATTCAATATTAGTATTATTCTATACATATTTATAATGATAATTGGAGTCTAAATTTTAAAGAAACGTGAACGTTTGCAAAAAAGAAATTTCATGTATATATAGTTATAAAATATAGATTTATAGTTAGAGATCTTACCTTTTCTTTAAGCTGATAGAGAAGATCATTGTAAGTACCAGCACTCTCTCCATTCTCATTAATGAAAGGGATAAATTTATAAGGAACCGGGAAATCTAATGTTTCCAAAACCGCAAAGAAAACATCACAGGAGAACCCAAGGCATTTTGTCTCATTTGTATGAGGATTACTATGTATCTCCACAAATTGAGTAAACCCCATTTTCTTCGGGATCGCTACCTTCAGTTCTGGTACAGCCCAACCTTTTGGTATTGTTATCGAGTCTCCAGGCCATAAAATCTTTTTCAGCTTATTTCTTGGTCCTTTATTTGAACCTAAGTTTCGGGATAAGCCTTTTTCAAGAGTCCAATAACCAACAACTCTTTCTCCTGTTCCGATCATATTGAAAATTTCGAAGGCTGAAGGTTGCAACTGTCCATTAAACAAGTGAAATTCTCCGCTCAATCCTTTGATTTTTGTACCCAAAATTTCATTTACAAGTCTTGGACCAATTTGTGAAACACCTAGATTTGCAAGATCTATTGAATTTTCGCTATAATTTGCCTTAAAAAAGCTAGTATTCATCAGGCCAATCTTCTCAGTTGCCATTGACAATAGATATATGGTGTCATACGCCCACAAACCAAATATGCTTACTTGATCGGACGCTAGACTATTTTGCTTCATCAAATGGAGGTTTTTATTCCATCTCTTTTTGAAATTTTCAAGATCTTTTGACTTGGGAATGTGAGGCCTAATGCCCAACACACCCTCCATCAAATCAATTGCCCTAGGATCCATGACATCTAATGAGTTCGACAAGCCATCAGTGATGAGCCAAGCATAATCTTTACTCAGCATTCCTGCCTTATAAGCAAGAACAAAAAGTCGGGACCCAAGTTTAGGAGTACTCATGTGCACAATGAAAACTCTTGTCTGCATGGTTGTTAATGTGTTCAATTCTCTTAAAATTTCAAAATCTTCAGCTGAATTAGAGATTGCACTAATGTGCAAGAGCCGAATGCCGATGTCTTGGAAAACACCAACCAGATAAGGAATGATCCCATTGCCATATTCAGTATCTTCATATATAAGAACAACTTCACTCCATTCAAATTCTTGTAAAATGGCTGCAATTGCTTTCACCGACGAGGAAAAGTTTTGAGGGTTTTGTGTGGGAAAAATCGTAGGGCCTAAGTTGGAGAATGAAACAAAGGGCACCTGAGATTTTTGTCCTAGCTCCACCAGAAATGTCTTTCCAACAAGCAATTCTGACCCTATGATCACATGTGCTTCAACGTTCTTCAATAAGTCCACAACTGCATCCAGTCCCAAAAAATTTGTAAATGATCAATATCTAATAACAAATTACAGTAAAACCTCTCTATTATAACGATAGGACCAAATTAATTTTATTATTATAAGTTGGTTATAACTGAATAGAAGTATAATTACAAAAATTATTATTTTGACTTAATTTTCTTTAGTGCAATTGGTATAGAGGTAAAGTATGCACTACATTAATAATTAATTAACAGAGCATGTCAAATCCAAGGTATATAAATTAATAAAAGATATAGACATGGTTTCAAAAAAAACTAGTACATGTACCTATGTAGTGTTGGGAATATGCAAAGAAGAAATCATGGTTATAATTAGACAAGAACAGAAATGATATAATCTTGAAGATGATAATATGAAGTTTTGTGCCAAGAAGTTTTAAACATATTTGAAAACCTAAAAACATTTTGGCTTCAACAAAAAGGTATCAATGTTAACAAATTATTACACACTTGTATGTTCAAAGATGTGGTAACAACTATAAAGTATAAATAATTAATGCTCCAAATAACTTTAGATAAACATTTTATTTCATGTTAAACTTTTAATGTGTTTATTTTTATGTATAGATAACTATTATTATGTGGAGTCAAGTTTCTTAAAATGAGATCTAAAAAAATTATAATTTATTACAATATGAAGTTTATTCTTATTTATAACTAACCCAAGTTGGGACCTAAATTTTTTATAATTATAAGAAGGTTATTCTTATATAAAGTATAACTTAGAAAGGTCTTACTGTAAACTGTATGAGACTAAAAAATGCTATCAAGTTAACACTTTAAAAAATGAAATTTTTTAATTAAGCATTATCTATAAACTTAATTGTCGCTTTAAAATTTTAAGTGTCATATGTGCAAAACAAAAGCTAACATTTTTCTAATTAAGCGTAATCTTTAAATTTTAGGTAATTTTATACTATATTTTCTAAGACAAAAAAGACAACACTTATTTTGTATATATTATTATTGTTGTTTATTTTTTTTAACACATTTTTCATTAAGTGTTATCATTTTTACTTTATATAAGAACTCACATACAAAACTCTAACCACCAGTTTCTTATTTTCTTGTTTCTCTCATAAATGTATAGCCTTCATCTTATTTCTCTCCTAAAACTCAACATTTTTATCTCATATTTTACAAAATCGCTTATTGATATCTATTAAACGCAATTAATACCCATTCAACCAAAGATTTGTTACTTTAAAAGAGGATTCTTTGTGAAGATTTGAGGTTTGTTATTGTGAGTTTTCAATTATTGATATTATCAAACTCAAAGATTTGATGTTTTATTAATCTGTAATGTATATTATGATGAAAAAAAATCATTAATGAAGTGATTCAATTGATCCCCCCGGACATATGCAGACTGTTCTACTAAATTTATGTATAGAAGAAGTGGAGGAAAAAAATTACCCGCAAAAGTCGAGCCAATGACATTCTCCGAGTGCATAGAGTTCAGAGATAATCTCGTTCGATAGTTAGAGTGAGTAGCATAAAAATCCGAGATTGCCATGGACATGCACATATTTTCCATGGCAGAAACTGATGAGTTCAGATCAAGAACAACACCAATATTTACCAACAAGTCTGATTCTGCAAATTCTGTGTCGATTAACTTGAATCGGAACTGAAAACAAAGAGAAAATATGAGAAAATGCCATATTGAATAACCCAAAATTTTCATGTCAAATGCTAAGGCAAGACACAGGCTAGTTTGGGTATGCTATCAATCAACCTTCTTATGGCAACCTATATATAGAGTATAGTTTATGTGAGAATGATATGGAAAATGACATGCATGAATATGTTAATTCATAAATTTGGTTGCATCGAAATTCGATTTAGTCAAATGGCAACAAAATTGTTTCATTGTTGTTGACAAATAGACACATTTAATTGTCTTCGCTAGAGCTTGTTTTATCTAGCAGATTGCGGATTACTCGATGGTATCGTTTATAAAAAAAACTTAATATGCATGTGAGGTCTTCATTCATAGCAACTTCCAGGAAGTATGGATGTTTGGACCTTGCCAATGATCACATCGATGCTTGCCATAAATATATATATGCTTGCCTGCAAATTAACTTAAACTCTTACAGAAATTTGGCTGAAGCTTAATGAAATTGAAAGTTGTCGTGCTTAGAAGTGAGAAGAATTAAAAGACAAAGATAGTCATTTTCTTTAATAATTTTTTTAAAATATAATTATTATTATCTTAAATGCTTTTATATGACGATAACAAGAAAACAAAAAAAAGCAACATAGCCGTAGATCTGGCATTTTTCGGCCAAATCTACCGTGGATCTGGTCGAAAAATGCTATATCGGCGCACGATAGGCCAGATCCAGCCGGTCGTGCGCCGATACAACGACTCTGACCACCCTCCAGCGGTGGTGGTTAGTTGTCGGTATTTAATGGGTAGGTAGGAGTATTTTTATTAATTTCTAATATTTTATTATATAAGTGTCTAATAAATAAACAGACCTATGAGGTATTTTTGTTAATTTCTAAATCCTATATCATAAAAATCACCAAATATTACTTTTTTTAAAATATTATTCTAAAAAGTATCAAATAATGAACCAAGTGTTCTCTCTATTATAATGTTACATTTGGGACTAGGAAAAATCTTAGTGAACTTGTTAACAAATATTCTAGGTAAGATTTTACTGAAATGAAGCCAGATTTCTACTGGGAAACAAGGAATTAATTAATGTTAAGAGGTTAAATCCTCGTCTCCCCTGTGGTTTTTTAAATTGACAAGTTGGTCCCTTGGTTATGTGAATTATCCAATCACCTTCTCTGTTGTCAGTTTTTGCCATCAAATCTAATTGTTGACCAACTTTGTCTGATACAATGACCAAGTTATCCCTAAAAACGAGTTTCTACAAAATTAAGAAAAATATCTGAAATTATTTAAAAAAATTAACTCAACATAAAAAATTCAATAAAATTACCTAAAACGTAAAAAAAAAATTAGCAGTTGAAAAAACCCAAAATATAAATTTTTAAGAAATATTGAACTTGGGTAGTTTTTTTTTTTATTTTTCCAAAAAGATTATGATTTTAAGTTTTTTTCATGAATTTAACATAATTTTAATAAAATTGGTTTATTTGAGAAATTTTTTTAAAAAAATTAGTCTTTTCTTTTGAATTTAAAAATTCTTTAAAAAAAAAAAGATAATATTGTCATTTAATGGTCAAAATCAATCACTTTTAGATTTAACGGTCAAACTGACGCCAAGAGAAATGGTTGGATAATTCGCATAATTGTTTTATCCCTTTGTTAATTTCTTCTCATAAAGCCACTGGTTATAGTTAATAATAAATAAAACAAAAGACAACATCAAGTCGATCAGAAGGCACTCATCCCTTGTATAAGAATATAATAAAAAAAATAATACAGAATCATAAATAAATTTACTTTTATTAAAAAATTATACTTTTTTTGTTCTTACAAATTAATTAAGTTTAGTTTTTTTTTTTAAAAATAAAATTAGAGATAGGACCATTAAAATTGGAAAAAAAACTAAAAAATATGTAAAATATAAATAATTTTAAATTTTAAATAGACTTTAAAGATCAAAAAACATGAAAAATAAATAATCCTAAAATTTAAAATATCTTGTAAATTAAAATTATTTGATTTCTATTTTTTAGGTTTTTTATTTAAATTTCTCATAATTCTTTTAATGATTTAAGTATTTTACTTTTCTCGTTTTTCTTTTCAATTTTTGAGGATCCTATATTCAGTTTTCTCTTTTTTTTTTTTTTTTTTTTCCAGATTCATTTTGCATTTTTTAGATAATTTATTTCTATTTTTCATATTTTTAAGTTCTTTTTTTTTTTTTAAAATTTTTTAGATAGTTTGTTTTAATTTTCTAGAATTATTTCAATTTTTAATTCTTTCAGATTTTTTTTATAAATTGTTCAGATCTTCAGTTAGTGTTTTATAGTTTTTTTTTTATTTTTTATTTTCTGATTATTATTTTAATTTTTTAAAGATTGTTTTCAATTTTATATATTTTTTATTTTTAAATTTAATTAAATTAATTTTTTTTTTTTAATTCTTACACAAAGTTTTTGGAATTCATTTGTTTATCTCTAGAGTAGCACTTTCCATTTTTTATTATTCTCAAAGGAGAAGTTTGGTTACCCTTTCCTATTTAGAGTTAACGGCAAAAATAGATGGCATGAGATCCTTATAATAATTTATGATAATTGAGGGGTCTAAGGTAATGTTGTGAGTTTTCAGGGCACTACAATAAAAATGGCTTATGGTAACACTAGACAGTAACACTTTTTCTTAAAGTGTTACCGTAGATTATCTATAGTAACACTTGATGTTAAAATATTACGATAACAATTTTTATATGTAACACTTTAACTTTTTGTAATACATTTTATATTAATGGTAACTCTTTTTCTTAAATGTTATGGAAAATATATTTACAGTAACATTTTTAAAGTGTTACAATAAACCTAATAATATTGTAACTTTTTTATAATATTACCATATAATCAAAATACAGTAACATTTTATAAGTATTACCATAAACCCAATTATTTACGGGAAAACAAAATATTATTCCCGCCAATATGAAATGAGGCTGATTTTGTCTCATTTTTATTGTTTAGGGGTCAAATTTACTATTTGGGCTTTACTTTGTTACTTCTCATTCATATAGGGACCAAACTAACATGTTTTTACAAATAGTATAAAAGGAAGATGGAAGGTTATGCAAAGCCAAAAACGTCCACCCATCTTCATCCATTTTCCAGAGACCGTCCAACTTCCACCTTCGACAATCATTTTCCTTCTCCAATGGCCGGCCATCATCACGTAAGACCTTCCTGGATTCCAACAACCATTAAGCTTCCTCCATCTGTGACCATTCATCTTCTCGATGACTTTAATTTCTTAGTTTTTCGACAACTTCTAGACATTCTAGGGGCTGGTCCATACTCCCTAAGGTCATCCACCTTCCCTGACTAGAAATCTCGCCTGAAAAAACCATTTCACTGTCTTGACTCTTCACCTTAATTTTCGGTGTGATTTCGTCACTTTTTGGTGTCGTTTCGTCTCCCAAGTGTTGGAGTTGTCCACCACTTCAACAATAAGGGGTCACACATACGCATTCGGGAGTCTCGTTGCCTGGTCAATGGGTAGGGGTACAGGGGGCAGCGCGTCTCGGCCCGTAGGCAATTTGCGTGTATTGAAATAATATTGATTTCACTAAATTAAAATATTGTAACACTTAAAAATGTTACTAAATCAAAATATAATAACAAATACTATTTTCTTAAACTTTAACCGGGAAAATGGTTGTCTACCTGCCAAACAAAATTCCCCCCCCCCCCCCCCCAAAAAAATACCTAATACCTCATTCACTCATCTTCTTCACGCCACTTTTTCAATTTTTCTTCTTCACTAAAATTTCAGCTACAAACTTCCCTCTATAACAATTTTCGTTATGTCAATGACACCACCCTACACTTAGAGTATTTTCAACTCATCCAACCTACTCATTCAAACAAAATACCCTACACTTAATCATCTTCATTCAGAAAAATCTAGTGAAAATCATTGGTTTCATCAAATTTTTAGCTTAAAATCTCCAATACCCATAACCTATTGAACCCTAAATCGAAGCCCTCATCCTTTAAGAGGCAAACCAGTGAAGCTACGATTCAGGTGAATCATTTTCTTGCATTTTTTCTCTGCATTTTTGTTCTACATTTTTGAGTAAGAGGGGAAAGAAAGCTACTCAATTGAAGTGAGTAAATTATTAGTGTGATTTTAATTTTATTTTCTTAGATTTCTAAGATGATCTCTTTCTTGCTTGTTATGTAAACATGCAAGGGGTCGAAGTTTTTAAGTGTTGTTAAGGTTAGTTTGTAAAATAGAAATGTACTAAAAATAGCACCATTGAGTGGTACTTAAACTATAATTTTTTCTTTCCAAGAAGACTACATAGCTGGATATTACATGCAGTCATCTTCTTGCATGCATGCCTCAAATTCAACATTAATATACAAATATTTACCCATTTGCCTCATAGTTCAATGCATATTCTGCTATAAATGTTTGATATGAAACATTACATATAGTTGGGTCAAATTATGCATGAGAGATAATGGACTATATTTAAACATGTGGGTTAAGGAATTTCTCCTTGCATTGACATTTCCATATAATTAACGAAAGAGGGTGCACCAAAATTCAAAACGTGAAAAGATGCTTAGTTTTGCTTTAATTCATTATATTTAGACATGGTTCAACTATTTAAACGATTATGAGATAACCGTTTTAGAAGCAAACTGTACAATATAAAAGAAAGAAACCATAAGTTTTAATGTCATAGATCATCAAAATCTTAATCCTGCCTTTTTGCTCTACATTTTTGCAAACTGCAGCTTGCAAACTTTGAGCCCTTTTGTGCCTCAACTTCATTTCTCTTCAGATGTTGTGACTAAAAAGCCTAGTTTTGATGAGTCTCTGCTACAGGTTATTGATTCAGAAATCAAGTGTGCTAAGGAGACTGATGATCACAATCAGGTAATGATAAATTTTCTTTTCCTTTTTTATTTTTTTGGGTGGTTGGTTTATGGATTGTATATATAGATTCCTTATTTAATTTGGTATAATATTTCCTTGTCATATGGTATCATTGGTCAATGAAG